GACCCAAACTGCTATAACACAGTTGTTACCAGTCAAGAACCCAAACAGTGACAATATTAATAAATACGTGAGTGCTTACTTACTATGTGTTAGGCTGAATGCTAAGCAATGATATGCATTATCTTACTTAATCTCAACATCATAAGGTAACATTATATTTAATAGAATGTAATAATAGTATACACAATTATTATCCTCACTTTAGATGAGGAAAATAAAAGTTTAAAAGATGGTACAGAAAAAGTAACGGAAATGTACTATGTGTCAGTATAGCTCAGATTTGTGTATCGACCTATAATGGTGTGGATCTGGAACACCTTCTAAAGACTCATGTGTGGGCTTGTTCCTCAATGCAGTAGTGTTCAGAGGTAGGGTTTTGGGGAAGTGACTGGATCATGAGGGCTCTGATCTATTAATGGATTCATTAATAGATTCATCTATTAATGGATTAGAAGGTAGGTCCTGGAAGAGTATTTCTATTTCTTATCCTTGGTACATGCACACTCCTCCCCCTCCCCTGCCCAGTTTGCCAGCCACCATGAGGTGAACAGCTTTTCTCTGCCATGCCCTCCTGACATAATGCTTTGCCTTATCTCAGGCTCAAAGCAGTGGAGCCAGCCAACCATAAATTAAACCTTCTGAAACTATGAGTCAAAACAAGTTTTCCTTTAAGTTGTTTATGTCAGGCATTTTGGTCACAGTAACAAACAGCTGATTAGCACAGTACCTTATCTTTTTTTCATTTTTTTAAAATTATTTTTTAGTTTTAATTAGACCCAATACATTTATTTTAATATGGTGTTAAGGATCGAACCCAGGGCCTCACATGTGCCAGGCTGAGCCACAACCCCAGCCCCTTTTTTCATTTTTTTAAAAAAATTTTTGTTAGCTGTATAAAACAAGTTTTTAAAAATTATTTTATTTTATTTATTTATTTTTATGTGGTGCTGAGGACCAAACCCAGTGCCTCACACATGCTAGGCAAGCACTTTGCCACTGAGCTACAGCCTCAGCCCCTGATATGTATTTTTCTTAAATGTGACTTTTACAGTCCGGCTCTTATAATTCTATTTAAAACACTGAAGTCACACAGAATCCCAAAATTAGCATAGAACAGCTTCTGAAATATTTTTTTATGTATTTCTTTTGGAGATGTAAACTACAAGGGGTCAAGAGAATTCAATAGACAGTATTTATGCTATATTTTATATTATTTTTTCATTTTGTTTAAGTGGCTACTGCTACATGTGTGAATTATAAACTACCTAACTAATGCTTGTTGTTTTTTTTAAACTATTTTATCTTTTAAAAAAATATTTTTTTAGTTGTAGATAGACACAATGCCTTTATTTTATTTATTTATTTTTATGTGGTGCTAAGAATCGAACCCAGTGCCTTACACATGCTAGGCAAGTGCTCTACCACTGAGCCAAAAACCCAGACCCTGCTTGTTGTTTTATAGACAAACACATTGTGTTACAAAGGGTTTAGGATATACATTGTTCTTTCCTAATATTTCTAATTAGGACAGATAGGCCACTTTACAGTTGTCTCTAAAGGTCTGTTACTGTGTTGATGTTTGTCTTTATGACTTTGTACCTGCATTCTTTACAAAAGCTGTAAGAATGGAACTCTTAAAGTGCTCTACAGATTCTTATTTATAGGAGCAGGGAAGGTTAGGTGGTTTACTCATGCTTGCTTACCACAGGAACAAAGAAGACAGGAACCCCAATTTCCTAACACCCAGCTCTATGTTCCTCCCATAAAACCATACTGTCTCTACACAGGTGTATCATAGGTACGAAATCAACTGAAAGTTGCCTATTTTTTTCTTTCAACTTGTATTTTTAAAAAAGAACTCAGGAAATCTTTTCATTCTGTTCAAAATTCTAGGAAACATGAAAGACTCATTCTCTATAGTATTTTACTGAGAAAATCTCGACAGAGAAGGTGGCAGCATAAATTCTCAGCAATTCTTAACTCTACTTGCCAAGACAACTGAGAGATGACCTGTTATCTTAAATCTTCAATTTCCTCAAGACAGAAATTCTAAAGGTAGAGTAATAATTTGGGGGACAGTAAGAACAAGGAGATCTAATGAGGCTGGTCACTCTGAGATTATCCAAATTAAATAATGATGCCATAGCCATTCTGGTAGCACAGAAGGGTTCACTTCTCTAAATCACCAAAAGAAAAAAAAAAAAACCTAAAAAATAACTGTCATAATTATCTGCTATGTCAGAGAAAGACCATTTTTTATTTTGATTGCTATCTTATTCAAACACAAATTATTATCACAGCCATTAACTCACTAAAGACCTAAAGGAGAAGGGGAATAGTGGTACAGCTAGCACAAAAGCCTGGAAAGAGCACAGGTGGGCAGGAAACACATGTCACCATGACACACAAACATGTCACCAGGGAAGGCGGAATGATAGAGAGGTAGAAAGATTTTATTGCTTACTGGTTCCTTTTCCAGATCTATGTTTGGTTAGCAATTCAACTATCAACAGAATCAGAAAGAGAAAGGAATTATAGTCAACCCTGAACCATGGATGGTAGATAAGGGGAATTAACCGTTTTAACATCTCACACTTAATCTAGAAATGAATTAGACCTGCCTATAGCAAACAAAAAGACAAGACATTATAATTCAGCCACTAGCATCCAACAAGTCAAATGGTCCACAAAATTAAGTTTTATGTATGGACTCTTATTCTTACAAGATTAAAGGAAATAAGAATACCAAAACAAATGACATTTTAAAATACTTGAAAAGAAATAGGTAAAAAATCATATTTAACTCTTAAAAACAGAAGTTCTCAACCTTTTCTTCCTCATATTGAAAACTGAGAATTACTACTGGGGTGGGAGGTATAATAGCTCAGTAGTAGAAATGTAGAAGGCCCTAGGTTCTATCCCCATACTAAAATAAATAGATAAGTTGAGGACTAAAAAGAGCTTTTATTTACATGGTACATCCATTGATTAATATTAAAACTAAAAGTTATTTAATAATTCATTGTAAAACAACCCCATATTAACATAAATCACTTAATTTTATAAAAATAACTATTTTCCAAAACAAAACAAAATTAGTGAAAAGAATAGCATTGTTTTCTAACTTTACAAATGTAAAATATATCTGACTTAAGAACTGAATTCTCGGGCTGGGGATGTGGCTCAAGCAGTAGCGCGCTCGTCTGGCATGCCTGCGGCCTGGGTTCGATCCTCAGCACCACATAAAAAAAATAAGATAAAATAAAGATGTTGTGTCCACTGAAAACTAAAAAAAAAAAATATTAAAAAAAAAAAGAACTGAATTCTCATATCTACTTCTGTATTCATCTGTTCTAATTTTAGTTGAAGTACATGAAAAAATTTCAAACCTACAAAGAGATAGTTGAAAAGGTAGGAGTACTTTAATAGCAGATAACTGTGAATATAACCATCTGACACTGTGTCAAAAGTATATTAATGGTTAGTCACATTGTGAAATCTAAAAGCATACCAGTTGAACTTTTCATATTGTCTTACATCAAAATCCACTGGTTTAGCTTGTACTTTAAATCAATTATTTATCTACACATGACCTTATACATCCTGCATTGATCACTGAGAAAATTTTAATGAGTTATATATACATAATTCTTTCAAATTATAATACATTTCATTGTATAAAGTAAAAAATATATTCATTAACACTCACTGATCTCATCAGAACTGTCTTAAATTTTGGGAAGCTATAAAGCTCACAATAGTAAACACAAATTTTTCAAAACAATAATTCAATGGCAACAAGCATTGTCAGTTCTTTTCCTCGAAGTCACAGGCTCACTTCATTCATTTTCAGGAAAATATCTGCCAAAATACTGAATAATCAAGTTTGAATAACCACAGTTTGCCCTTTCAAGTAAAAGTGATATTTCATAAAAGTCAGTTAGCGGGGCCGAGGCTGTAGCTCAGTGATGGAGTACTTATCCTAGCCCGTGTGAGGCACTGGGTTTGATCCTCAGCACCACATAAAAATAAACAAATAAAATAAATGTATGCTATCTATCTACAACTACAAAAATTAAAAAAAAAAAAAGTCAGTTAGCGGGGCTGGGGTTGTGGCTCAGTGATAGAAGGCTTGCCTAGCAAATGTGAGAAGCTGGGTTCAATCCTCAATATCACATAAAAAATAAACAAGGGGGCATTGGGTTATAAATGATGGTGGAATGTGATGATGATTATCCAAAGTACACGAATTGGTATGAATATACTTTGTATACAAAAAAAAAAAAAAACAACAAACAACAAATAAAATAAAGATATTGGGGCTGGAGTTGTGGCTTAGCAGTAGTCACCCAGCACGTGCGAGGCCCGAGTTCAATTCTCAATAACACATAAAAGTAAATAAACAAAATAAAGGTATTGTGTCCAACTACAACTAAAAAATAAATACTGAAAAAAAAATTTTAAATAAAGGTATTGTGTCCATTTATTAAAAAAACCAGTTCAGTAAGCTCACAAGTGCTCTTCTTTTAGACCATGAGAGTCTTCAATGGCAGCAGTGCTCTGTGCTTCTTCCCTATCACAGAGTAGTAAACCAAGAGAAGCCCCTTGAATTTTAGAAACATTAGTAATTCTTACTGATTTATCAAAGACATTCCAATGTTGAAAATTAGCTTTTTTTCCACTATGTAAATGGTGAATGAGAAGTAGTAAAAATACCATAATTATTGCCAATCCCTTGACACATTAAGACACCAGCAATCTTTACCACTACAGTGCATATGTCAACACATTTAAAAGGCAAATAACATTTTAGCATTGTTATGAAAATAATCATCATTATGTAATAACCCCTGAAAAGGACCTCAGAGACAACCAGAAATCCATGAGTAATATTACTGTTCTAAAGTATCTTCTTTTGGCAAGGACAGGTTCCACTGCTCCTATTTAGTACAAATAGTAATAAATCTAACCAAAATACAACTCAAAAAACACCATCTTACCTTTGCCAAGACTAAAAACAAATGGTTCATTTCTATCATGACTGGAATCAAACTTCTTTCCATTTGACAATTTTCCTTTGTAGTGGACATAAACTTTGTCACCAATCATTGGTGTTTCCTCACTATTTCCCACTCTTTTGACAATCTAGGGGAAAAAAAGAAAATTCAGAAACAGAAAGTTTTTACTTACAATTAGAGAATTAAAAAGGTAACAATCTACTCCAAGCCACTCAGGCATATTTATAAATCTACTCTATCTGTTCATAATTCTTTCAATAACTGTCCCTATTAGAAAACTATCTTTTGTAAGGACATGATCTTTTATGTAATATTCTATTTTATTGCTGATTACACTATTTATTTCTTCAAAAGAATTAACCAATAAATCTTGCTTAAAGCCCTATACTGTTTACCTTTAAATCTCTTAAAACATTAGATAGTCCATATACAAACTAAATTAGACCAAAATGACTCAAAAACAATCAATAAAAAGTCTAAAACAAAGTTTCAAAGGTGTGATTTCATTTACTTTCCTCTTTGGCTAAAAACATTAGCTTATTATTAGATTCTGCTAGTTTGGTTTAATTTCAGAAAGCCCAACATCCTGGTGTAACAGGCTACACTTCTCATTATTTGAAAAGTATTTAGGGCTGGGGATGTGGCTCAAGCGGTAGTGCGCTCGCCTGGCATGCGTGCGTCCTGGGTTCAATCCTCAGCACCACATACAAACAAAGATGTTGTGTCTGCCGAAAACTAAAAAATAAATATTAAAAAAAATTCTCTCTCTCTCTCTTTAAAAAAAAAAAAAGAAAAATATTTAATCTGTAAAAAAACATCAGTTATCACTGCACAGTTTGACATGATACTGAATAATTTGTTTTCTAGTAAGGGAAATGCCAAAAAAAGCTCCAAGATAAAAAATATTTAGTTATCATAAAATCCAGTATATTTATTTTGTTATTGTCAGAGCAACCTCCTAATGCAGTTGGTCAGATCTTGGAAAAGGAAATCTTATTTTATTTAGGCAAGTGGTGGTGTAATTTATTCTGTCAATCATCTAGATAAATTAACCATTTTTAGGAGATAACAGAGGCTAATAGCTAACAATACATAAACATCTTTTGTAGAAGAGTTTTTGTTTACCGAATTATATTATTTGTTTTTAAATTGTTTGAGGTGTATCCTCTGAACCCTGCCCCACATAAACACTGTGAACTTCTTTTCTATAACTTTTCTTAGCTCAAATGTCCAAACAGTCTTTAAAGGAAAAAACAAAAAACAACTGCCCTTCTAGGACTTCAAAAGAAAAAAAAAAGTTTAAAAAAAATCAATCTAAAAGAAACCACATGATATTCTTAAAGTGCTCATGTTCATGAACTGCGTATGGAATCTAGGAGCCTACAATCAGTTATCAGTAGGAATTTACATTCAAAGGACTAAAAAGAAACAACTGGGCATATGGAATGAATGCCTACCAGGGAGGCAGATAGTCATTCATACTGACAAGTGATACTATGGTCTCACTTTAGGTTTCTGCAGCCAACTAAACTTGTGCCTAAGTCTGGAGTTAAATTCATGTAAAAAAAAATGTAACCTAATTTTTATCTTCCAGAAGGTTGCTGACTTTCTAAATTTGCCCTGGTCCTTTATTTGAAATCATATAATAATAAGAAAGATTACTATAAAAGCTAAGTGTTTTTCCTTATCCTGATAACTCTACAAGATTGGTGGTATTATTCAGAAGTCTCATAGTGAACCTGAGGCTGTGACAAGTAACACAATTTATGGAATTCCCAATCACAAATATTTCTTACAAACTTTAAAATCCTGTTATTAGATTTATTCCCCAGAACAAATCATGTTTGAATATGATTTGTCCTCTCTGGAATTTGTGGTGAAATTTGTAATTGTGGTGATATTGGGGTGTGGGACCTTCAAAAGGCAATTAGGTAGTTCAGTGGAATTAATGCCTTTCTTGTGTAAATTCTGGTTCTAGAGGGACTGGATTAATTATAGTAAGTCCACCCCTTGTGCTGCCTTTTTCACATGTGCCTACCTACCCTTCTGCTATCTACTGTGAAGTGAGCTTGCTAGAGGCCAAGCAGATGCAGATACCATGTTCTTTGACTTCCCAGACTCTAGAACTGTGAGCCAAAATAAATCTCTACACTTTACAAATTACCCAATCTCAGGTATTCGATTATAGCAAGAAAAAACACAGTAAGACCCAGAGTCTCAGGCAAGTTGGGGACTCTGGAAATGAGGACTGAAAAGATGAGGTAGAAGATTCTGCTGAGGAGAGCCTAAAGAATCTCCACTGTCTCTGAAAACATCCTGGAATTTGGGATGAGTAATTATAGTTACAAGACTGAGAAGACCTTCTGAAGAAAGAAGACAGCATGATGTAAAAATATAGCATAAAGCCCTTATTCCACAGCTGCCAATTCCCAAAATTTGGCTTGGCACAAAGCAACCTAATAGGAATATGTGTATATTCAGACCTAGGCATAGAAGAAAGGCTTTCACATATTCAAGATTAAACAACCTCAAAAATTCTGATTTGCTACTGCAGACATGAGAGGGTTTTAAAATTTCTGTGTAGTAGTAATAATTAGAATGTGTTAAATAATCTTTTTTGGAAAAAAACGAAAACTATACAAAACCTGTATGTATTACCAGTGTACAAGAAATAACTACTTGATTAAAGCCATCTGATTTCTCTCAGCTTCAGTTAATTCACTTATAAAATGGAAAAATCAAGAGGTGCTCTGATTTTCTCACACCATTGTAAAATATAAATGTAAAAATGATTAACTATAGAGTGATATTCACATATATTATTTTATTAAGTAGGAAAGCTAATTCAAAAGTTAAGATATATTCTCTGATAAAACTCCCCCCAAAAATCTTCATTGTACCCAGAAACATTTTCATGTTAAAAATAAATCTTCAGAATGCTAGCAACTAGGGAGGCTAAGACAGAAGTACTGCAAGTTTGAGGCCAGTCTGAGCAACTTAGAAAGACTCTGTCTCAAAAAATGGAAAGATCTGGGAATACAGTTGTGGTAGAGCATCCCTTTGTTCACACACACATTTTGAAGTACCCCATCCTTTCTCTCATTCTCTCTCTCTCTCACACACACATACACACACACACACACTCTGAAGTTAAGGGGACATAGCATTTTAATATCTGATATAACTTGGAGCTGAACCCAGGATCTCCAGGATATTGAGGCAAGTTAATTTACCTACCTGGGCCTCAGTTTCACCATATACAATCTGGGATTAAAAATAAAAATCTCACAGTTATGAAGATGAAATAAGAATCTATTTAAGTTGTAGGTGGATACAATATCTTTATTTCATTTTTATGTGGTGCTGAGGATCGAACCCAGTGCCTCACGTGTGCTAGGCGAGCACTCTACCACTTAGCCACAACCTCAGCCCCCCAAAAAAGGTTTTATAAACAATCTTTCCAGATTTCCCTGTGTTATTCATCTTTGTAGCCTCACCTTTAATACTCCTCTGTCTTTTTTGGAGGTAATATCTTCTCCTTGTTCTGCAACAGTGGATGCTGGGCTTTCTCCATTGTTCTTGGCACCTTCATCAGTTGTCATATTGTCTTTTGTAAGCAGGAACCCTGCCAAGAAGAAATATATTTTAGATAGGGGAAAAATTATTTCTTTATGCATCTTAAATGTCCCTGGGAACTGAGACTTAGTAGACTTAAGATTTACTTAGGGCCAGTAAGTAAATCTTAAGTCTACTAAGATTTTCCCCGATACTTGTGTAATTAGATTTAAAATATTCACTTCCATAGGGTGACCTGAATTAGTGATAACAAAAACAAAAACATTTGCTATCAGCATGTATTGCTGTTATCAAGCATGGAAATAAAACATCATCCAATTCTTTAATTTCCCATCTAGCTCTGGTCTCAAATTAAAGAGTGGTACAAATCAGGTTTGGTGGTGATTATATATATTCTCAGAATTTTGAAAATATTCTTTTCCTACAGCTATATTATTGACAGAAAATTAAGAACTTCTCTGGTGATTTGATAAAAGAAGTGACAATGTACTATGGTGGCAAACAGAATAGGCTTTACAATCTGACGGAGTTTTAATGCAGGTCCAGTTGTTGACACTTGTAATATACTTAATCCTGCTGAGTCCCTAGTTTCCCATCTGTAAAATGGAGACAGTACACAGTTTTGGGTGTTAAAATAAATTTTTAAAAAGGTACATCTTAGGCTGGGGATGTGGCTCAAGCGGTAGCGTGCTTGCCTGGCATGCGTGCGGCCGGGGTTCGATCCTCAGCACCATATACAAAACAAAGATGTTGTGTCTGCCAAAAACTAAAAAAATAAATAAATATTAAAAAATTCTCTCTCTCTCTCTCTTTAAAAAAAAAAAAAGGTACATCAATAACTAAAAAATATATATTTTTTAAAAAAGTGTAAGCATTTATCATCATTATGGGGTCTTTTATAGGGCATTTTCCCTCTCCTGCTCAAACTACCTACAGAATTAAGTTTTCCCTGTGGCACTCAAAGCACTTCACAATCTAACCCAAACGTATCTTTCAAGTCTAGCATTCACTACTTTCATACAACTCATGCTTTAGCCAAACTAGACCAATTCCTCTCCTATAATAAGTCCTGTGTGCTTCCACATCCATGTTTTTGTTACTTTCTTTTTCCCCATCAAATGCTACCTCCATCATACCAACCTTGACTAAGTGGGGGTCATTTTTTCCTTTTCTATACTTTCTTAGCTCTTCCCATACCTTACTGTTTATATTTATTAGAGGATACATCTGCTGGATTTAAAAGGTCCTTGAGAGCAAAAGTCATGCTTTGTTCACATTTAGATTCCCTAGAATGCCTTACCTTTTAGAATGATAAATGCAAGGAACTTGTTTTCTTCCTGTTTCTTACAAACCGATATTGACTACTCTAACTTCTCTAAGCCTTTCCCCTCTACTTGTGTAATTAGATTTAAAATATTCACTTTCATAGGGTGACCTGAATTAGTGGTGTATTTACACTTTTAAAATATACCATTTGCCGGGCATGGTGGCACATGCCTGTAATCCCAGCAACTCAGGAGACTGAGATAGGAAGACTACGAGGTCAGCCTTGGCAATTTAGGGAGGACTTCAGCAACCTAGTGAGACCCTGTCTCAAAAAATATAAAAAGAGCTGGGGGTGTCGCTCAGTGATTAAGTGCCTCTGGGGTCAATCCCCAGTACCAAAGGAAAAAAAAGAAATATACTACTCAAATATCACCTGGTGGACAATTTTTTCACACAAGGCAAACCAATGTTACCAATCAGCTAATCAATAGGCTAAACAAAACTCACCTGGCCACTCCCATGATTAATTCCACACTGCTCCCTGGTTACCAAATCAAGAATCAAAGACTTCTGAATCTATTCCACATTATGCTAATGATAGGCTTAAGGGTCCTTTAAGTCACCTCTTAGACCCTTGTCTACACAATCAAAAAGAGCTATTTTACCTTGTGAAAAATATCTTATTGGTATAATATAACTAAAACATCTAATGTTTTTAACTCATTTCCAAATGATCTAAGTTTACTTCAGTGACAACAAAGACACAAATCATATTGCTATGCCCAAAAATCTTCAAAGAGAACACCAAAATCCAGGGGCTAAGGCCCTTTGCTTTATTTTTTAGCACAGTTTATACCAAACATAAAAGATCCAAATGTTTGGCTCAGGATAAGTAAAAGGCTAGAACAAATCGTTCTCAAACAAACAACCAAAATTAAGTACCTAGCTCTACATAATGCTGGGCTGGATAATCAGAAAAATGAGATGAACAGGGTTGCTTCTCAGTTTCCAGAAATCCACTGTTTATAACACTTTTTTCTAATGCCTAAACTTATAGAGGGCACCTCAACAACAGAAGGAAAAGAACTTCTAAATATTTCAAAGTTCATACCTGTATCCCTGAGAAAATACATGCATGTAAAAAAAGTTCCTAGGGTCTTATAGATACAGTGACATCCATCAGTAGACCCCTGGGAAGCCATGGTTTAAAGTATTGAACAAATTAAAAACACCAGGTGAAAATTTATTGGAAAAAGAGCCACACAGTTTCAAAGTGTCATTCCACGGATTACTTATTTAAAAAAAGGAAAAAGACCTTTCTGATAAAGTGATTTGCATCATAACCAAACTTTACAACACTAATAGTGAAATAAGCTCATATTAATGTGACTGTTGATATGATGCAGTAGGAAATATATATCACCTAGGTGGTGTTCTATCAAAATATTAAACTCAAAACTAATCAAGAAGAAAAGACAAGGGTTTGGGGTTTTAGCTCAGCGGTAGAACGCTTGCCTAGCATGTGGGAGGCCCTGGGTTCAATCCTTAGCACCACATAAAAATAAATTAATAAAATAAAGATATTGTATCCAACTAAAAAATAAATATTAAAGAAAGAAGAAAAGACAAAATCAGATTGTGAAGCATTCTACAAGACAAGTGGACTAGACTCCTAAAAAATGTTAATATCATAAAGGACCACCATTATCATCCCACTGCCAAAGAAAGACAGATAGAAGGCTTGTTCTAGACTAAAGGATATGACAGAGCTATGACAGCCAAGTGCTATAGGTAATCATTAACTGGATCCTAGATTAGGGGGACAAAAGGATATTTTGGGGAGAATCAGAAAAATTTGGAAAACCACAGTGAACTTCTTAAGGGTGTAAGATGTTAATTTTCTAGGCTATGCAATAGTATTTCGATTTCATGTAGAATAATATTCTTGTTCTTAGGAGACACATGCTTAAGTATTTAGGGGTGAGTTGTCATCACATCTGCCACTTTTTAAAATTTATTTTTTAACTGATACATAAAATTGTTGTTCTGAGAATCACTGAAAGAGAGAGAAAGCTCCGAAGTACAAATGTTGCCAAAAAAAAAAAAAAAAAAGTATAATAAAACATTAAGTAAGGATGACTACAATACATCCAAACAACGCAATGCCTTCTTCTGAATGCTCATCATTTGGAGTTCAGCAAAAACTATGAATGAAAATACTGTCAGTCAAGAAACATTTTCCTAATCTGGCATGGTACTGCATGCCTGTAACCCCAGCAACTCTGGAGACTAAAGCAGGAGGACTACCTTAGCAACTTAGCAGGAACCTCAGCAATTTTTTAAGACCCTGACTCAAAATTTAAAAAATAAAAAATAAAAAGGACTTGGGGTGTATCTCAGTGGTAAAGTGCCCCTAAGTTCAATTCCGATTACCCCCACCCCCAGAGCAAAAAAATAAGAAACAAACTAACTAAACCAAATAGTTTCTTTTGGCTCTAGCCTTGCTTTCTTGGAAACAATGGTTTACTTAAATTCAAATAAAAAGTATTTCCCCTTAATTCCAGTTAGGCCATTAGTAGTATAGATTTTCATAAGCCAAAAATAAATAGACTCTTTTTTACTTTATCAAGTTATTATCTGAAAAAGGACAGACAATTCCCCCCCCCCAAAAAAAAAAAAAAAAAAAAAAAAAACTTTAGGACAGTTTTACTGTATTTACAATACAGACTTTTCTTCCTTTCCCCCATCCTAGGTTTATTCTGGATTAAAAATCACTATGTAGCTATGGATATTAATCTATGAAAAAGCTTACTGTGCTGAACTGTTCAAAGGGGGGAAATTGCTACCCAGAACACCAGAAAGGGAACACACAGTTCGTTCTGTTATGGACATGCCAGATAAGCATGCACTCTCCAAAGCACTAGTCAGCAGACACCTGGGACATAGTAGAAAAATGAGAATACGCTTAATATTTCATCAACAGTGTACTGGAAACTTCACTTAACACAAATAATTATTAGAGGCCCCCAAATAAGATTTTATTTTTAAAGCCTTTCCCACTAATTTCCCATGTATATTATTTACTGCTGTTGTTCTCTTTGTTAAAATATAGATATCTTGTATCAGACCATTGTACTGTGTAATAGGAATGTGCAGAAAGAAGACATAAAAGAATATAGGAACTGGCTACTTTGTTAGAAGTACTCAAAATTATAGCAGCATTCTTTCTAAGCACCACAGATGTCCAGGTCATACTGGCTTTCAGCTTCCTATAGCTAAAACATTAAATAAAGAAAAGACACAGGAAGGAGGTATATCCAGGACTTGTAACAGAATGCAACATAAGTGGATCTTAATTTTAAAAATTTCTATGAGGATGGACTAACAAGCCCTCAAGCAAATTCAACCTCAGCACTTTCTCAAACACTCTACTCCAATAAACAGGAGTGTCAGGATGACTTATCTATTTGTAGATAAGACATACATCTAAAAAAGAAGAAACAAGATCATAAATAGACTATCTATCTACATGAAACTGTATATCTATATGTACTTTCCCTCAGGAAATTTCTTTCCTCCACATTGGTGTGGGGTCAGGGAAATGAATACTAATATTCCTTTGCATTCTCATACACATTTCTTTCCCTCCCTCCCCGCTTTCTCTCTCTTTTTTTTTTTTTTTTTTTGGAGCTGGAGATTGAACCCAGGGTCTTCCATATGCCAGGCAAGTGCTCCTCCACTGAGCTACATCCTCAGCCTGCATTTTTCTTTTTTAAAAAAGTA